CATGCCGTTCTTGTTGACCAGGGTTTCGATATGTCCTCATGCGCATGCCAAAGGTGCTGAACCGTTTCGGCTTGGACCGTTAGTGAAGCACGTACAACACGTCAGGAACGGCAGGTGGTAGATCTCAGGAACCGCACAAATTCCGTTGCCACATTCTCCCTCCTACGGTGTGTCGAGAGCGGGCAATCATTCCTGTCAGTGGACCTGAGTTCCACGGTGCTTTCAAACTAGCAAAGAGGAATTGCACCCGCCCAGATGACCGGGGGTGATGGGGTGAAGCAAGGGTTTTGTTACACCATTCGCGCTGCCTATTGGGGCTGCTGTACGTAGATTCGAGCGGTTTCGGCTGCTTCCTCCTATCTCGCAGCGTCATGTCACTTTGGCAGGCGACTTTTGCCGGGATGGGTTTACTATCCTGTATACTGGGTTTACCAGAATGGGTTTACCAGAATGGGTTTGCTTGAATGAGATTGCTACTAGGGGTCGACGTTGTTGTTGTTTTTTTGCTTCATTCGCACCATGATTGTAGATTGCCAACGTTTCCCGATATGGGGTTCCTTCCTGACGTGGGTGTCGTCTGTTGTCGGGCCGAAATGTGCCGTGCGTATGTCAACATCGTGGTTCCGACTCCGTGTCCACGTGTTGGTTCCGACTTTTTATTCTTTCCTTGTTGCGTCGAGCACTGTGGAACGACGATATGTTATGATGTCCGATGCGAAGTTCGTAGTGAAGGTGTGGAGCGTTGATCTTTTATGGTGCTGTACGTGGCTACATATTTTTTTTGCGTTCATCACCACACGCATCGGTTTTGTGCCGTCCTGTACGCATGTTCGCATTTCCTTCGTGGTTGTTCGGGTCCGAGCGATATGGTACCGATGTAGACAAATGCAGTAAGGAAGGGGTCATTGATTCAAGTAGTGGCAGAAGCGACCTCGCCCCATCTCGCGTAAGACGGTTCAGCCATGTGGTCGCGAAATGGTCACGACATACAGGGCTTCTAGTCGTCGCCGGAGAGAACGGCCAGGCTAAGTGACTTTCTTTTCTTTTCTCTCAGCTAGGTTCGATACGGCCATTCATGCGTGCCCGTTCACATGAAAAAGGGTTTAAGACCATGCCGGAAGCGTTCCCGCCCCGTAGCCCTCTTGAAGGCGACGTGGTTTTCCGTTCGTTCTTTTGTCTCGGTGCAAACGTTTGATGTGCATACATGCGCCCACAAGCAAGTGCAATTTCATCGATGACCATGGGTACCCATGGGTTGGGTGCCCATGGGTACCCATGGGCTACCATGGGTCACCATGGGTACCCACAGGCATACCCATGGTGACCCACGGGCATTGTCCATGGGTACCCATGGGTACCCATGGGTGCCCATCGGTACCCACGGTGACCCGTGGGGAATGCCCGTGGGTGCCCATGGGCACCCGTGGTGATAACCGTGGGTAGCCATCCATGGGCGTCGATGGTGTAGCACCCTACGGGTGCCCATGGGTAACCACCGTGATCAGCACGGGTCCTCTTTGACCCCGACGAAGAATAGACGAACAAACCCACCTGCAGCGTTGAAATCGCAAGCAAAAAGTAAGTATGATGGAGGAGAGCTGCGCATCGCCTCGGCGTGCGCATGCACGGTTCGGAGATCGTGGACGCTACGAAGCACGGGAGATACAAAAACGCGTTCAGCATGTAGCCTAGCGCCGTGGATCTAGGTGAGGACACACTGACGGGCATTCCTCCAAGCCCACCCCAAGCCAGTTTGTCGTTATGTAGGCTCGCTCACGAATGGTCCTCTCCCTTTTTCATACCATATGTTGCCATTCGATACCTTCCTTTGCATTCTTGCGCCGAGGTGGAATGTTGGATTCACTAACCGTGGTGTGAGCCCCACGGAAACTGTGTCTACCAGCTAGCTGCGGCCGCGCCTTCCTCAACCTCGCCTATTCAAAGTTAGAGTAAGCTAAATGTTGGTACCCGTTGTGATCCCCATGGTGGATATCGCCATTATGATCCCTCGTGGGTACCCATGGGTGCGCATGGTTACCCTACGGGTTGCCCATGGGTCACCACGTCCCATGGATACCCATGGGCACCCATGGGTACCCATGGGCTACAAGTGGAAGGCTGTGTTGGTGTTTTGTCAGAACGGTTGGAAAGATCAAAAGGGGCACCGTAGGCAGGGAGATTTGTAGTCTGTAACGAAAAGAAAAGAAAAAGGAAAGAGATGCACCTTCTTCAAAACAGAAGAAACATCTGAATGAAAGAGCAAGACAACAAGCAAACACAAGGAGGGGTAGAAGAGAAACAGAGGAGCAAGAGAAGATATCGAGAGAACGAACGGGAGGAGACAGACAGAGAAAGGGAGCAAGCATATCGTCGGTTCGTTTTTTTTTACTCATGGGACAGAGAAAGAGAGCAAGCACATCGTCGGTTCGTTTTTTTTACTCATGGGCACCCATGGGCACGAATTATGATAGTGTACATGATTGCCACCGAGGACGTCGTTTAGATCGGTACAAGTGGAGCAACGCCTACCCATGGGGGCTTGGTGGTTCAAGGGCCGGTGGAGCATTTTCTTCTTCACCAAGGTGAAAACCTATCTCCAGGACGTCGTTTACCCTATGAAGACTGGTGTTATGTTGGCACGGCCCACAGCTATCATACGAGCTATCGGGCACTCCAATCGGACTTAGTGATGCAGAGGAACGCCCACCCACGGGGGCTCGGTGGCTCTAAGGGCGTAGGAGCAGATTTGCCATATCCACTCCACACGCTAAACCCCATCAATACAGTACTCTGTACAAATCCGCGCACTCTGCATTGGTGCGATAGTCAATCGTTGTGAGAATGTCACCACCTCTAACGCTTGTACTTTCCTGGCTTGCAGAATAGCCGTGGCTTGTGGGAGACCAACGGTGGTGCTTACGGGGTGATACTGTGTATGTTGCGTACTCTGACGTTCCATAAAATAGCGCTTTCTCTCTTGTGTATTTTTTGACACAATAATGTCATTATAAACAATCCAATAACACCCCCAACACGCACAAACACAATTGAGCTGTGTTCCCTGGCCCCCGGCTGTCGCGCAAGCCGTCATTTGTCCGAAACCAACATATGGGTGCCGATATACGCTCATGAAAGCGGCCGCAGCACCACCTCGCCGGTGCCATAGGTAAGGCATTTTTACGACAACGCGCGAAACCTTCGAAACACCTCCGATCCTCACAAAACCATCTTTTTGCTTTTTTCTGTGTCCCCACGGCCACCGGCTGTCGCGCAAGTGGTCATTCGGTCGAAAGCAACATGCGGTTGTAGCCATGCCTGTAAACCAACATGTTGCCTTTGTTGAGACGGCCGACGAGGGCGCAGGGTGGATCGGTTACATGTTCCACCGAGACGACTACAGTAGTCTATCTCCAATGCTGCGTACAAGCGAATGGGAATTCAGATCTCGCTGGGAGGCCGTTTCTTCAGCACTTTGGCCGGCGCGTAGCACCCAGAGGTCCATAGATGTTTGTTGTGGAACGGACATGACCACCAAGACGAAAGCGCAAATCTCGGTGGCGGAAGGAGTGGGGCACGCAAGCAAGGGTACACCACGTTTCGGGCAGCAGTCGTCTCCTCCTCGAGGGAAGCGCTTTTCATTTGAAACTCAACTTTGCGTGTTCAACAGCACGACACAATCGTTGAATTGGGAGTGAAAGTTGTGCCCACATTTTGTGACATCCCGAAGGAAAATCGTATGGGTCAGTTGATGAAATTGAGCTTCACGGACACACTGTCTTCACGATTTTCATTCATTCATTCTTGCCCAAGGCATTCATATGCAGGGCTTTCGGAGTCCCTAGTTCCGGTGTGAAATAAAAACCCGTCTCATCTAATGCATGCTGTTTCACTGTCGTAGCCCTACGTGAGGACTTGATGGTTTATTCTTGTCCAATACCTTCAGATCGAGAGCTGTCTGTGCCCAAAGTCTCGATGTGAACCGAGTCCTGACTCCGAGAGGCATATATCTTTCTGCGCATAATCCATTCAGAGGCATGACATGGCAGGGCGTGATTGCCCTATGTACGTTTCACTGCCAGCGTCGAGGAGGCTTCCTCGTCGTGGGAACCGATATCTACCTGAACCGGGAGAAGAAGGGGCGGAAAACAAGAGTGTGTGTACGCGTATGTAGACACTGTCGACCTGTAGTAGATGTGGATGGAGCCTGCAAAATATATAAGCCAACACACCGAGTCCACCGCTGCCGCTGCACGCTTACACCACACACGACACCACCAGTCCAACATTTGAGCAGTATACAGGAGTTCTTTCTGCTGTTTATCAGCGCGGGAACGAGTCGGAGTAGTGTTTGGTGTGAACAACAATCTCTTGTCAGTCGTCAGCTGCTTGATGCTGCTGCTGAGTGGAGATGTACCCTACTTGATTCCCTCACTTAATGTGCTGGCAATATCCAACGGGCTCTAACCCTCACTCCCGACGCTTCCTATGATTTTCCTAGTGGGTCGCCCTTGCCCTACAGCGGGGTGTACGTCTCTCCGTTTTGGGATGCGCCTGTTGTGGATCAAACGATCGGCCTACAGGCAGACCAAGGCAGTCGCAGATTGATTGACTTGAGTGCGCTTGCTTCCCTCGCTTGTACATACGCAGCAGGCATCTGGCTTCAAATATCGCTCCCGACGCTTCGTAGGATGTGTTCCTTTGGCCGCCCTTGGCCTGCCACAGGTGTACGTCTCATTGTCTCTCTCTGTTCAGGTGGTGACTGCAGATGACAGACAGCAGATTGACCTTATTGCCTCCCTCGCTTGTTGTGTGGCCGACAGCAGGCAACGCCATCTATGATTTGGACCTTTGGCTAGTCTTGTCTTGTCCCACAGTAGTCTCGTCATTGTGACCATCAATCATCGAACCAGCCGTTTGTTCAACGTTAGAATCCTCGACAATATGCACGCACACCTTCCATACTGCGGTCGACGAGATGGGAGCAAGTTTTGGCTCGACCCTCTTCTTCTGGCGATCATAACTGAAACATGTTCGGCAGGTAGAAACGAGGAACAACCTGACAGGCTCCTGCGCGACCTTCCTCCTGTGAGACGCTGGCCAAGTGGTCTACACCGAGAAGTGCGTAGACGGGCGCCAGACTATATCGGACGAATACACACACGGTAAGAAGTACGAAACCCAACACGTACGTGGAGCTGCACCTACTCCGTGAAGCAGTCTTAGCCTAGGAAGGATCGATTGGCTTCGTCATCGCGATCTCCGACGCTCTCCGGCGCGGTTCCCACAAAAAATAAAAGCAAAGTCAGAGCCCCGCGCGCCATTCTCTCGAGTCCGTGTCGATCCCAGTGCGTATTGCTGGGTCTTGCTCCCAAGCAACATCCCAGTACCGTCTCACGATTCCACACTGGTTTAGAGTCGTTACCATGCGGTGGTCGGCGACGTACTGAACAAGTCCAGTGGCATCACTGGGAACGTGACGCCCATTCGCCTGGCAAACCCATGCGTAGTTGAGTAGGTTGGGGCGCCAATCGTCTAAGCGAGCGTCGTAAGGGTCCGCAGGCAGCCAGAAGACAGCATCATGCATGTGGTACCTGGCATAAACAAGCGACAACCATTTGGTAGCGAACAGTGTGTGGTAAGAGTGCGCGGCGAATGCCTTCCGCGGCGTACGGACGCCACATGCTTTTCACAAACCGTGCTTTACGACATGCAGTAGACTGTGGGAAACAGCCAGTCGCGGACTTCACCCTACCCAGTGTTGCGGAGGAAAATCACACCAATATTTTGGACGCGAGCGCGGCAGTCGATCGAGAAGTCTACATCCAACCCCGCAACTACGTACGCATGGGGGGTCACGGCGATGACAAACAATCGCTTGAATTGCAAGTGTGAACGAAATCTCGTCGAAAATGCCCACACCCAATCATTCTCTCTGACACGACATAGTTCAGAGGTATGAGCTCCTCAGGAAGCAACCGAGAAGCCTCCTACTTGAAGACTTCAGACATGCGTGCGAAATAATAACAATTGATGCGAGGACGTTGACCACGTGGGCGGAGGACGCAGCACGAGTTGAGTATCGAAAGCAGCCTGTCGTGCACTGTTTCCACGATGAGCGTCGACCGTTCCTGACTCGGCATCGCACTCGGCTGTTGGGGTACCTCATGAACTTCCACGTAACACTCGCACCGAATGGCCGCCATACCCGAACATAGCTGGCTAGTGGCGACACGTCAACCTTTCCATTCCTTCGCTACTGTATTTCGGTACGCCACGACTGAATCATGATGCCACCGATTTTCTCTTTTTTTTTTTCCACGTTGAGCACTATTTGATGAGGTCTAAATTATCGTTCACGTTGCAGATGAAGTGGGGTCGGCTCCCGGACTGCAGGTGGCTGTCGTCTTCGCAACCTCGAGCGTGCTTCTCGTAGCTCTGACACTTCGCAAACATATCGGTACGCTGCTGCAGTCCAGCGTTCAAAAACCTTCCGGAGGCTGACTTCTAAGGCCCTTTTCGAATGCACAACCCAGAGCACAACATATGTATGTGCAGACCGCTGGACTCACCACATGTATGCACCGATGAAGTTGAAGTCAGAAAACATCCGCATATTGTCTTCGTCTGAATATTGTCTCATTTCGTTGGGGTGCTCGCAACGTCCTCGCCTGGTGGACATGAAATCCACCATTGACATGTCATGACGCTCGGTGAGGAACTTTCGAGCAGCTGGATATCTGACATAAGCGCAGTGAACGTGCAGGAAGTCGACGATGTGTGCCCAATCAGACGGATTGAACTTTCCAACGCTCATTCGCAGCAGTTGACAGCGGCAGAGAGTTGTTGCAACTGCACGTACAGCTGAAATTCATTTGTTGTACATTCGTGTGGAACGCATCACGCACGCCAAAGGTCTACAAAGTTGTGGTCATACCCGAAAACGCCGGGTGAGTCCCTACGCCTCCGCTCGCCCGCGTCCTGTGGACGTAGACGTACCTTGATCGATTGTTGACCCACAGCATTGTCAAAGTAATGCGTGGCTCTGCATGGCCTCGTTCGTTTGGAGCAACGAGGCGGCGGTGAGGGTACATTTTTCCCGTCGCTCATTGAGAGCCAGTCGTACCTTTCTCGCACATTCGCTCGCACACCGCACAAGAATGGGCTTTGGGGTCGACACATTTGTTTGGAGTAGGCTCAACCAATGTTTGTTAAAATGTTAGCGCAACATGCGTTTTTGACCAACAATGTCTGTGTCTTAATGTTGTCGGGCAATTGTTTGATATTGCCTTCATATCCCAAACACAGGACATGAATGCCATTTTCCCAACACATTGTGCTGAGCCAAATCAAAGGTGTGTAGGGTCCAACTCTGTGATCGATCTGGTTGGGGCATGCGATTCAGCAAGTCGATCCTTTTGCCTTCTTGGCCAAACAGTGTTTTTTCTCCAGTAGCGGTGCCAAAACGAGAACAAATTGTTTAGGTCGATGACCTCCACAATCGAAATGTTGGTGCGTACTCCACATTCCCACATGTTTGTGCGTCTCAGAGGTGCCTTCAAGGCCACACAAGAAAGGCGAGTCTCACATCGATCGGGGGTAGACGTGGGTGTTGAAGATGCTAAACTCATGCAGAACGTCCTCCCCCATTGCGAACGAAGTGCCGCTCTGCCAGCACAGTGTATACAGCAGACCTGCACAAACGAAAAGAGAAAAGTAATTTCACGTAAACGTATCAATACAGATGCCCGTACGGGGAGATGAGTGCGGCATGCTATCGATGGGTCGGGGTGGTTAGGTCCACATTCATTGCGACGGAATTGTTTCGAAGGTTGTATGAGTCGGTTGTGACATGCCCGATACATCGGCCCCACTAGCAATATAGTCATAAATACAGCTGCGGCACCGACCCCCCATATTCATGTTGACTTATGCTCTCAGGTCCCAACTGTTCCTGACGGTTCAGCCATATTACAACGGTTCTTTTGCAGTACCAAAAGGTCTGATTTAAGAAAAATGAGCCAAAATCCAACGCTAGCGCATACATGCGAAGAGAAAACAGGAACAGTACATCATAACCCCTATGACACGTAGTTGTTTAACGCTCTTGTAGACTACATGTACTAAAATAATGCCGTACCTTCAAACCCGGCATCGGTTCGATATCGTCGATATGGCAGAACAGGCTTATGGAGATGAAAAATGTGCTTGTAGGTCACATCCTCGAAGACAATAACGTCCGAGTCCATGTGAAGCACGTAGTCCCCATTCGTGTAGAGGTCGGCCCTCATCTGTGGCACATGGAGCAATGTGATGGGCATTAGCAGACACGAAAGGCCGACACGATCTTGTAGTGTACCAACGTGTGTAGTATGTTGTCTCGAGAATTTTTCATAACATAGTCGATATGCCATTCGATTTCGTCTCTGACTGAACCTTCGGTTTGTGCCGCTGTTTCCCGCGGAATGGTTCTCGCACGACGCGCACAAATCTTAGACGTGTATGCTTGCCATCCGTAGATAGTTCGTACACATGTTGTACTGTGCAGTGCTTTGGCGTATTTGCGCGGCACAAGCTGAACAAGACGGGACAAATATGATTTTTGAGGCCATGGGATGAAAAATGAAATATGTACCGCGAGACAAACGAAGATGAAGTGAAAATGAGACGCATAGAACCAATATAGGGGCAGCGCGTGTTTCTACTCCTATTAAAATTCTAGGGTGAAGCATCGCCCCCCCCCCGCCCCCAGTGGGCGACGGGGGCATAAGGAGATAGAGGTCGAGTAGCCCTGCGAAAACGGCCGATGCGGTGCGCGTCTTTGTCGATGCCGTGAGTCATTTCGTTCGGTGCTTCTCCATCATTTCATTTCGTGGGCATCGTGTTCAAACCATTCGTCTTATACAACCAAGACGCGCTTCACCAATCAATCCTACATTCGTTGCGGCAAACTCAGATACCATTACATTTTTCCCAAGTTTTTTTACAATAGCGACGGTTGTAGCATGTACAAGGTGCAGGAAGCAGAAAATATTTTGTGACCCGAGAAACCGAAGAAAATTGAAGGCGAGTTATATAGCGTGGCCTCCATGGGGATGACGGAACTGGAAGAAGAGTAAGTAATTGTGTGCATGAACTACAGAAACTACATCGTACTACATAGACTATGAAGTAGACTTTCCGATATCTCTGGACATGCATTCCTACATAGCCTGTACACGACCACCAAAAATGCTCTGAATATTCGGAAAATGTTTCCGCAGAAATTTGCAACGTGTCGAGACTCGAATCCGGGTGAATTCGCTTCAGCGGCCGATGCCCTTACAACTTCCCCAATTCATTGTGTGCATGAACATCATCTACAACTGTAAAACATAGACTACATCAAAGGATAGACTGCGTGTGATATCTCCAGACATAGATATGCCTCTATGTTAGATATACTCGTAGCATAGTAATGTGGTTGAGTATGGGACATGGATCTACGGAGATTGCAGTTGGTAGATCGCGGAGGAACAGGGAGTTTCTGCTTGGTTTCTTCGGAGATTCGATGAGTGATCTGAATTGCGTGACGGATAGGTGTGGTGACGCACTCTTCGGCTGCTCGGCCTCGAGTGGTCTCTGCCCTTCCCTCTTCCCTCTAATACAAGACTTTCCCATCTCGGCCCTCACTGGCCGAGCTGCCTTTCTCCACAAACCTACAAGCTTCGGCCTACCCGGTTTATCCAACACGCTAGCATTAACGACTTTGTCGAGGGTGATTGGGTAGCGCCGATGGGCAGCCGCATGCGCGGCTGACGACACCCAACCAGACGAAGAGGCCACCAACGGCGAGGGCCTGCACAGCAGCAGCAACCCCAAGACCTACAGCAGCGCCATCGTCAGCTGCAGCCCGCCGTCTACTTGGGTAGTAGGCCCGCTCAGGCACGTGATGACTTTTCAGTTTCCTACTGGACTGTTGTTGGTATCAACACACCCATTGCGGTGATGCGGTACTCATAGTGCCGTCCGATTCTAAACGCGGCAATACGCCGTGCGGTACTGCCGTCAAACGCCAACGCTAACGCCACCTCCACCTCCACCCGGCACGGCCGTCAAACGCTCTCTCCTACTCTTTCTCTAGTATAATCGCGGCAACACGCTGCGCGGTAATGCCGTCAAACGCCAACGCTTATTCAATCAAAACGCGACAATACGTCGTGCGGTACTGCCGTCAAACTCCACCGCTCGGTCAAAGGCCGACTACCTGTAGCACATGGGTAGACCCAACCTAGGTTACCAGTAATCCTCAAAAACTGATGCCAGTTTCTAAACTGATGATATGATGTGTGCGTGTAGCATGGTATTAGAAATAGTATTGTGCGTAATGAAATGCAGTGATCGGCGAGGTTTTTGCTTTGTCATCCTGACAGCCGTGCTGAGACCAACTTTCTCTCCCCGGCAATAGCGTGATCAACGTTTTATCTGGGCTCTCTTTGGTAGCTACTTTTTGAGCAGCAGGTTTAGCCTGATCAAAAATGCGTGATCAACGTTTTATCTGGACTCTTTTTGGGTAGCAGGTTTAACCTGATCAAAAACTTTTCATGTCTTGGTTGTGTCAGCGAGTGCCGGAGACGTGTCAAGTCTCAACGAAGTGCAACATTGGTACCTCCACCTTGTTGCAGATTAAAAATTCACAATATTGACGAAATAAATGCTGATTTCCTAATATTGTTGTACGTTGTCTTGAGATTGCTATTTGTTGTGAGATTGCGGTTCCAAAAGTTGTTAAGGTTTTGACTTAGGATTGATTACCCTATGGTTAGAACAGTAGCAGCAGCTTGATTACTATTTTGCAACAGAGGACTAATCAACCTCCGTTTCAGGATGATATTCAGCTATTTATGGTGTGGCGATATCGCATCGGCAATGAATTTCAGACAAACCATTCCACAAGTAGGGTCCGACGACTTGAACGTGTGTTTCATTTATTGTTTTTTCTGCTGCATGCAGTCACTACTTTGCAGAACCGGGGGGAATGTTTGTATGTTTGTGATTCTCCTCAGTAGTGCTGGTTTGTTCGGAACTAATCTGCCGCCATCATCCCCTCCGAACGCGCGACCTGCCCTGCACCACTGCCGAGTCAATCCTCTCGGAGCGACAATTGTTCTTCCCCCAAGTCAGGCGGACGCAAACATCGAAGCTCGAGCCGCGGCCAGCCGGAAAAGATGGCGGAAGGCGACCGCGGCGGAGGCGTGCGAATTGTCCGCGGGGGGGAAAACAATGGCTTGGGCAATGGGTTATTAAGCGCTGGAGCTTGATGATGCGCCGGCAAATGTAGGGGTTTCGAGTATTGTTTTGTTTTGGTATTAGATTGGATTTTGTGTTGATGTTGTCTTTGTTTTGGTATTGGATTTTGGTTTTGGTTTTTGATTTGGTCTGGACTTTCGGACTGGAACTGTTTGGTAATGGATTTTGATTTGGTTTTGGTATTAGCTTTTCGGATTTGCATAAATATTGTTTTTTCTTGAGCTTTCGACTGGATGGACTTTGAATGTGTTATTTTGGTCTGTGTTTCTGACTCCAACCCCTTCTCAAATCAGGGGGGCAGATCCCCCCGAGAAGAGGGGCACACTATCCTTTCAGGAGGAGGAACGGAAAGCTGATGTTTGGTTTCTGGAGTGTTACAATCAAGAAATATTCGCGTTTCACCTGCGGAAGTTGTCTTGACGTTGACCGAATGTTTTGGGGATATTGTTTGATCGGAATTGTGAGAGTAGCATTCGTTCCTGGTCGCGTTTTATCTGCGAACTGGGTACATTCTGTGTGTTCGGAAGCATCAAACATGCATATTTTATCCCTTGCGAAATTCATGTTGTCTTGGTATTCATGTAGGATTATTCATGTAGGATTTGGGGATGACTGTATGCATCTGCAGTATTTCGAAGGCGATTATCCAGGATTGATCATTGTTTTGGAAAAGAATGATGGAAGAGTTCTTCCATAATTATGTTAACATGAATGGGTTGTTTAATGCCTTTGAGACGTAAGGGATGAAATGTATGGCGAATACAAATGCGACGAGATGCAGAGAGAGCAGATGGATCAATAGCAAAGCGTTTTCTGAGTTGAAGGATGTAGTGTGCTAAGAGACGTTTTTGGTTCAGGAATATTTGCATAATCGAGTTTTTGGTTCATTGTTTGTCACGGACGAATAGGAACGAACGACGTTTTGATTCGTAAGTGGATTTATGTTGCCTTGCCGTATCATTACGATGCATACGAGCAGGGGGGCTGTTAGATATACTCGTAGCATAGTAATGTGTTTGTCGAGGGTGACCGGGTAGGCCGAAGCTTGTAGGTTTGTGGAGAACACACAAACAACGAACAACAAATCTCCCCTCCTGACAGTCGGGAAAATATTCGAGACAAAAAAACATACATGTCGGAACTCGAACCCGGGTGAGTTCTCTCGTTCAGCGGCCGACGCGGTAGCAACTACAGTACTGGACCCGGCTTAGTGTGGGTTTAATAGTGTCAACTGCCGGTTTTGTGCCGCGGTCAAACCTCTGGACACAGACAGCGCCCGGTTTAGTGCCGATTTTGGCACTATACCGAGCGGACCCGATATAGTGCCGGTTCACTTGCCCGATCTTGTTGCGCCCGGTTTCCCTCCCTGCTGTATGCTATACACCTTAATATATGTCCTTTGTATTGCCTTCGGCCTCTGTGGTGTGTTTCCTTTTTTCATGACCTCCCTGCCTACTCTTCTGTGTTGGGTACCTTGATCTCGATTTGCTGTTGCCTTTGTTTTTGTACGTCTGGCTGTCTGCCCATCTGCCGCCTCTTTGACCTGTTTGCTCCGTTACTCCCATGCCCTGGTGCGAAGTGCCTGGTGCTGGTACGTTACCCTTGGAGTGCCTGGTGCTGGTACGCTACCCTTTGATTTTTTCTTTGGGCGGGTGTGGGAAGCGTCCTCCTATATTTTTGTTTTTGTTTTATTTTGATCGGTTTCCGAGGGCTCTTTTCTCGAACGGTCGGTGCGATACCTGTTCTTTTCTTTCTAATACTATCATGTTGTTTCCTTGTTCCGAGTGTTTTTTTGCTTCCCCGCGGCGTCGTATGTGCCGGGTTTTGAGACCACGGGCTCCCCATTTTTTGTGGACTATAGAGCTAATGTGAGAAACAACAACAACAACAACAACACGCTGACGTCTTTTCGTTGGTCAGCCGGTTAGCGCGGTCGATGCTTATCATAACGCTGTCGTGTTTCTGTTATTTTTTGTCTGATTTTTCGACATCGACCGAGATTTGCTTGTAGCTTCGTCCTCAAAATGCAAGTGTATGAGTAGACGCCACAGAGGGCGAATCGGGTGCAAGAAATGTTTGTTTTCCTTTCGCGGTTGACGAGCGAGTGCTGTTGAGATTTCCCGAAATGGTTTGATTAGGGTGAGACCGGTGCCACTGCCTCCTTGACCAAAATAATTGGCAGCTGATAAGTGCGAACCTTTGAGAAATGGCAGGTTGGTATTCTGCACAAATTTGAATGGTTCACGAGACAGTCGGGTATGTAATACATTTATTTACAGTACGTATGCTGAGGAGGGTGGACATAAAGGGTGCAACATGCAAGACTGTTTCAACAACAACGCTGTGTACCCGACAGGGTGGGAACGTCACGTGTTGTGAGAAAGACTGCCCACGCCGGCCAAGCAACAACTCCACTAGATTCAATCCATTCGGTATTTGCTATATGTTGCCCCGCAAAGGGTAGGGGCCACACCATGAAATGCAATATGTCCTCAACAGTGCTGTACTGGCACCATTGAGGAGGATTCAAGCCCTCAACAGTGCCGGTTTGGTACTTTTGAAGGCCTATTCCCAATAGTGCCGGTGTCAGGTACAGAGCCTGTTTACGCTCTGGCACATACCAGCAGCCGGGTACATCGCCCCTGTGGTCGAGCGGGTAGCCTCGCAGCCTGCCAAGGGCCAGGTCATGGGTTCGAGTCCCGACAGAGGGAGTTTTTTCCAGGGTTCTGCACGGAGCGGTTTTTTTCCACGGAGCGGAGCGGTTTACACCGCTCCGCTCCGCTCCGTGGGATTTTCCCTCCAGAAAAAACCGCTCCGCTCCGCTCCGTGACATGAACAAAAAAACCGCTCCGCTCCGTGACAATTTTGCCCTCGGATAAACCGCTCCGCTCCGCTCCGTGGGGCTTCCCAAAAAACCGCACAAGCGGTTTTTTCACGGAGCGGTTTGAGCTACTCCGTCACACAAGCACGGATAAAACCGCAATGCAGTCACGGTTTTTCCCACGGAGTGACGGTTTTTCTCCCACGGAGTCGCGGTATTTTTCTGTTTTTCTGTTCTACTTTTACAGCAGCCACACAAATAACCGTGCCCACGCACACAGCAGCAGTCCGTGCCACACACACATACACTCCGCGCAACGCACTCCGTGCACATCAGTCCGTGTGCACGTCTGCCTGATGGAGTCGACACCCGACCCTGGCGACCGCCCTTCTGGCGACCGCTCTTCTGGTGCTGCTGGTGCTGGTGCTGGTGCTGGTGCTGGTGCTGGTGCTGGTGCTGGTGCTGGTGCTGCTGCTGCTGCTGGTGCTGGTGCTGCTGGTGCTGGTGGTTCTGCTGCCGCTGGTGCTGCAGCAGCAGCGGCGCAACCTGCAGCCCTGCTGAACACGGTGCGCAGCGTCAAACGCACCGTCATCAACGTAGCAGAGACCGTGGCAAACGGGACTTTGTCGGGAGTTTGGACGTATTTCCAGAAGCTTGACCGGCCGGTGAGCGGCGGGAAGAACACGCGATGCATCGTTCCCGATGAAAATGGGAAGCGAGCAAGGGTGGCCACGACCGCGTACGAGAGGCGTCAGGCGCGGAAGGTCCAGGAGGCAGCAGCTGCGCGGACGAGCGCGCGTAGAGACCAGCCGTCTGTAACGGACCGCGTGCAGAAGGAGGTGGATGAATACACCAAGCTGCCTGCCGCCGTCCCCGCGAAGGACTACGACGTCCTCGGTTTCTGGAGGGATGCCGGCAGCCCGCGTCTTGACCCCCACGGCAACGTTGTTTCTGCCGCACAATTCCCCATCTTGTCCATGCTTGCTCGCGTGTACCTTTGCATTGACAGCACTAGTTGCCAATCAGAGAGGGAGTTTTCGGGGCTAGGATTCGTGTACAACAATCTTCGGCAAGCGATGGTGCCCGACCGGGTCGAGATGGTGATGTTCCTTAGGTCTAACCCCCATCTTATTCCCGAGATCAATAAGTTGGACAACGGGTTGGGGAAGCTGCTTGCAGCGCAGGCTGTTGGGAAGGCTAAAGCTGCATCTGTCCAAGCCGCGAATGCGGGAGAGCAAGTGGTTGTCGATGTCGACTCTGAGTGAACTAGAGGCGTGTTGTATTTGGATGGATACACGAGACGCCTGGCAAGTTTCAACAAGAGGCAAGTGAGATTTCATGTGCTGTTGTACGTGTTGCAGGAACGTATGAACGAGTCGAGGAGGTATCGATGTGAATGGTTCCTCTCTAAATAATAAATTAAGTGAATGATTGACAGCTTTTTTTGTCTTTTTGGGCTGTCCTAGTCGCGAGGACGCATACAGTGTCACCCGCGGCCTCCAACCACAGCACACAGTACGGAACAATCGGTCTTCGGTGCACGAAACCCAACGGTTTTCACGAAATTGCAGGTGCTCCGTCGATTGTGTACGGATATCCGTGCGGTTTCGACGTTTTTTTCCGACGGAAAACCGTGCTCAAAGCCACGGTTTCGCGCGGTTTTTGCTACGGAGTAAAGGAACCGCTCCGTACAAAAAACCGCACTACGGATAAACCGCTCCGCTCCGCTCCGTGGCATGAAAAAAAAAACCGCTCCGCTCCGTGAGGCTTTTGGCTTCGGATAAACCGCTCCGCACCGCTCCGTGATAGTTTCAAATGAAAAAAACCGCTCCGCTCCGCTCCGTGGAACTTCAAAGAAAAAAAAAACCGCTCCGCGGAGCGGTTCTACTCCGTGTACAACCCTGGTTTTTTCTCGCAAAATAAATCCTGGTCTCCGTTGGAAGCGGCGCGCTGCAAAGCTCGTTGTTAGTCAACTTAATTGGCTTCATAAGTCGCGAGGGAAGGGATTGCTGTACCCTTCTCGCGATAAAAATATCTCAGGCAGGAACCGCAGGAGGGGACCAACTCCCCCTCCTATGTGACCCCAGTCGGGGCGTCTAGCTGGTAGATAGGGGCCAGAGGGATAGACGACAGAGTCCAATGATGGGAGCAAAACAAGTAAAAAAAAACGACACGAAACCGGGCCCAGAACTGTTTTCCATCCTTTTTTTTTCATTGCCTTCCGACAATTGCAGATGTACCTCAGAAAACTGTCACTTAACGTCTCATACTCCACATGAATATTAAACCAATACGAAGTACAACAAAATATGCACGACTTATTTCTACTGTCACTTACATCGTAAAAATATCTCCTCTTCAATTTGAAGTAAAACATACTTTGTTTTGTCGTTTTTCTCACAGTAGCTCTCTCTGTAGTCCACATGCTGCAGTCATTTAGCTCGGTGTGTTAAAGCGCGCATTTATCTAAAGCAACAAATTGAAGAATATTTGAGAGTAGATGTGACAGATTTGCGTAGAATAGGGTAAGATGTTATCATGAACGGAGATGAAAGGGCTTTTCCAACACGGAGATGTAGCATGGATCAAAGCATTTGTTGGATTTCAGCTTTTACAAGCGGACATCAACGCAGTAGTATTTTAGCAAGCTTACGAACGCATATAGGATACCATCAGGATTGTCATTGGTAAGTTGAAGAGGAGATACTTTTACGATGTAAATGACAGTAGAAATAAGTCCTACATATGTTGTTGTACTTCGTATTGGTTTAATATTCATGTAGAGTATGAGACATTAAGTGAAAGTTTTCTGAGGTACATCTGCAATTGTCGGAAGGCAAAAATAAATAAATAAATATTTTCAGGGTGGACAACATGTTGCCGACAGATGTGCTGGGCGTACGACCGCGGCCGCAACAACTCCCTCTGATTTCGTTTAGATTGGTAGGAACACGCTAGCGTTAGCAGCAGGATGTTTTGTCTCGCATGTAGTGTACGGTTCGTTGTAACATGAAACATACAATGCATGTACGCGAACAACACCAAAATAATTGTGTCCGTCGATGTCGCGTTCTGCTGTGTGCTGTATCAAGCGTGCTGCGGGTGTAGATGCGCCGTGCATGGAAACAGCCCTCCAATTGTAAATGGCTTGCGGTAGATCTTCAAGCACGGCCGATGTATGTGTGCTGCGCATTCATGCTCTAGTCTATGCGGTCAATCAGTTGCAAAGTGTGCCGACATTATCATATGGGGTTGCACGTGGTTGAACTTATGTGTCTCATCAGGAAAAGAGGATTTTGCTGTGGCGTACTGATCTCCGACACTTTTGACAAGTGTTTACCGCTTCCATGGAAATATAAATCATCTTCGGTGGGTTGGATCTACTTCCATGGAAGCTGATACCAGTTCCATGAAAGCTACCAGGTACACGTTTCACACTCGCGAAACGACACTTCCATAGGAAGCGATATCCACTTCCATGGAACTAAAGATATAAAATATGTATGTGCCACTTCAATGAAAGCATACTTCCACGGAAGTCTCTTCGGAGTGGCATAGCTTCCATGGAAGTCGAACCTTAGGCTTCCATGAAGAAAGCTATTCAAAACAGGTTTAGGGCAGCTTGCATGAAAGGAAGTATACAACCTCGGGCTAGCTTACACGGCCTTATCGGGGTTGGGGTTGGGGTTAAGGTTAGGGTGGGGCAGCTGGAATGATCACATGTCCAGACGCTTCGGTGGTAGTTGCTTTCTTCATGGAATTGTCGGTGGTTTCACGGAAGTCGGTTTCGACCTCTGTCACCCACATTATTCATGGAAGTTGCTTTCATGGCAGTTTTCGTCCTTCCATGGAAGTATCAGAGACTGTGAAACGACGAGCTTCCATGAAAGAAAGAAATACTTCGATGGAAGCTCGTCGCGCTTCCGTGGAAGTCCGAAGTGCAACTTCCATGGAAGCAACAAGCGGTTGATATCGGGTGTTTCCAAGGAAACCGATTAACTTCCATGGATGTTTGGTGCTTCCATGGAAGCATCATGCAAGCTGGAACCCGAAACAGACGAACAGATCCCATTCAAGTCAAATCGACTTCCATGCAAGTATCAGTAGTGACTTCCATGGAAGGGGCAACCACTTCCATGGAAGCAGCGAACCACTTCCATGTAAGTCTATTTCGACTTACATGGAAGCTTATTCAATTTAATCAAATAATGTAGGTTACCCCGTACTGCTGCTTGGTGTAGACACGTGCATGCTGCGCTAGCCCTAGTTGGCTTACGGTACGTCTACAAGTGCGACCGACGTGTACTAAGCGTCTATGCTCGATGTTGTAAATCATTTTCGACGCGTGTTGGCCTTTATGATGTCGCTTGCGCATGATTGACCGTAAGGACAAAAACAATGGGGGATTAAAGTTTCTACAGATATTAAGAAAAAACTCCATCTCTAATGAAACGACAGAAATATGTCGACCTCCCATGATAGCTTGGCTTTAGCTCAACGCGTAGTTCAGACTCCCTGCTTCAAGTTCTGCTGCGAGGTACTGATTTTCTCTCGTCGATTTTCTTTCCCGTCTCAATGGTTTCATCATGATGACTACCACTGCTGGTCTTAATTGGTTGTTCGTCTTGCTTACTGCACAGACTGGTTTGCAAACACGTCCAAGCGATGAGTATGCGGTGTTGTCGCAGGTCGTGTCAAAGGCCGTAGTGCTGACGTGTATTCCTAACGTGTACCATAACCACCGCGTCAGTACGTACGTGTATTCTCACCTTTGAGTATTTTTGCTGAACATGGCCGTCCATGAGCTCTGGCTCCGCCACGACATGAATAGGAAGGGGTCCTACGGCCCGGAAAGGCTCGACGATACTCTCGAAGAGTGCCTTGTCGGATTCAACCACCACGACGACCACTTCCATCGCGCTCGGGAAGCGGTCAATGAGCGAAGCCAGTGACATGTTGAACAGCATAGCATCTCCAGAGAACGTTCGGTACATGACGGAAATGTTGTAGTCTCGCAAGTTCGGCAAAGGAGTGTTTGCTCCTTCCGGGCCGAACTCCCAATGGGTGTTGACTTCCAACCCTGATTTCGCAATCTTCCTGTACCCGAGCTCACACGAAGCCCCAAGCTTGAACGCTTCGAGCTCTTTTGCGATGGTGTCACCCATGCGATACCCTTGAAGATCCAGACTCGCATCGAAGGTGCAGCCAAAGCGAGGCTTCACCAGGGGGATTTCCCAAATGGAAGGCGCCGAGAAGAGGTTGTCCCGATGCCACTCGCGGATATTGATGAAATCCACCCCCTTTGGTCGACTGGAGTATGCCAAGGCCGCGAGCACCTGTTGTAACCAGGAATTTCCGATGCGGACGGGGATTCACCCACTAGTGCCAGAGCTATGCTTACGTTTAGGGCTCCATATCATGTGGAGTGGGGTGACGGCAATCAAGGCGGGCCGACAATGCTGACAAGTACACTCCATAGTGGCATGTTTCGGAACGTCACAAACTTGCTTTCTAAAAAAGGCCTGATGTGTTGTGTCGTTTAGGGACAGAGGAACGGAAGGATCGCGGTGAAACACCGACTGAGGGGAAGTATCTTCAATCCACACAAGCTTTTAGGACGTATTCCTTGAACTCCGGTTGGGTTGGTTGCCAAGGTATCCTACTACGTTGGATGAAGCGGTAGAACGCCTTCTTTCTTCACGCGTTGGCGTCGAGCATCGTCTCGACATGGTTTCAGTTCCAAGTCGATGTTCGACCCGGCGACACAATGTTTGTGCTTCAACATCGCCAACTCACTCTATCGCTTCGACGCACTGCTGTTGACGGCATAACAATGTTTGTACCCGCCTTACCTCAGGGACGTAAATCGAGGCGTAACCCCTGTGGAGGTCCGCCACCAAAGCTACGTGTGCATATATCCTGTCTGTCTCCTCCTTTGCACTGGTGGGGGGGGCAGCGTCCGTTTGCGCCCCGAGACGTGCTTTCGCGCCCAACACTGCCCTCAGTTGTCCATTGATATCAGCTGGAAGAATAAGGTCACTTCCGTAGGTAAATGTCGGCGTGGCGAATCCCAAAAGAATCACGCTGCCCATCGCACGGGCCGCATTCTCGATGTGGACATCGTACACCTCCTCAGCGACCACAATCAAGTGCCCCCGAGCCGTGTGAGTGTCCTTAGGTGAAAAGGTGCGACTGATAATCTGTCCGACTTCCATGTAGTAGATCAACCGTGTTCCGTTTCCGCAAAATCGGTCGGCTTCCAGGGCGGCATACTCTACGCTTGTCGAGTTTGTTACTACTACGCCTGGGAGATCGCCCAAGGTCCTGGACATTGAAAACGTCGTCACAAGGGCAAACATGCGGCACAAGTCATGGCAGGGTTCCTCTTGTACACCACAACAACGCGAGAAATAAAGTACAAAACCACCGGTAGTACCTGTCCTACCACCAGGTACTGTATGCGCTCTAGATGCAACAACGCTTCAATGTTCACAGGTTGTAATATTTCGACTTCTGTTGCAAAATATATATGGTGTTCATGTGTGTTTATCACATGGACAGAGAAGCGCCGAACCCAGTTTGAGAAGCCAATTGCAGCTGGGGAGGGCAGGACGGAGAGCGGACGGCGAGATAGTAGGCGGACTGAGTATGGTGAAGGTGGACCTGGTTCCTCTGGTTGCCCTCCACGTCAGTTTCTGAAGTCTCATATTTTGTGTTGGTATCTGTAGACTAAACTGCGCCGATGTTTTTCCGGCACACAAACACGTGCACAGCGTGCTCATATGTTCTTGGATCTGCGTACACACGAGGTGCTCTGACCTGTTGAACACGTGGAAATCCATTGGATGCGTGGCTATCGCGATCCGCATCCCCTCCATGAACTCCAGAACGCTGTGCACCGAGCTCGTCGTCTCGGACATGAACTCGAAGTATCCGCCCATGAATGCACACATTTCACCACGGCTGCTGATCTCGGCCGGCGAAACAAGATCTTCTTCACTCTCTTCGAATTCCTCCAAAGAACGATTGGCAGCAGCAGTTCTACTGCGCTCACTTTCGTCTATCAACCTTTCCATTTCCGGCTCAGACCGAATTGGGGGCTCGTGCGTATTGCAAAGAATGACCCGTGCACCTTGGGCTATGGCAACCTCGTCTGCGAGATGGGCCGGCAGACCTTCTTTGAAGCACAACCGACATGTGTCCCCGAGATCTCTCCAATTGCAGTACAAGTCCCCGTAGAGTCCACTTCCACAACGATAATCGCACACCTGATCAAACGCGTGGGATAGGAAACAAACGAGTCGTTATACCAAAGTCGAATGGATAGCTGTTGGTGTCACTTGGTCTCGGGTAATCCTGCTGTTTGTCAAAGCTCCGTGCTGATAAAAATCATCTTACAAGCGAAGAAAACTCTTCCTACTCCGTTTGCCAGCGATGCTCTCACTACCAACGACAACGTTGTTTGTGGCTTTGACCTGATGCGAAAGTCTTTCCGAAGCTATACTGGCTGTGTCCGGAGACGGAGACAATCCCGCCATCCCGGCTGTGTCAATGCCAACCAACATATATTGCGTGTAGAGCAGATATTGAATCAGGTTACATATTGTTTGCAGAGACAAACGACCTGTCGCAGTGATAGTTACTGTGAGGCTGTGCTAACGCAGCGTTGTACATGGTGTAGAGCACACGTTTGGATCCACAGATATATTGTTCCGCAGCAACACAGCATAATACGGGCAATGCAACGACACCGCTAAGACTGCACGCAAAAGGTGGTGCGTGCGGGGACAGGTCAAGTTCTTGGTCGAGTCAGGCTCTTATATCCTTCCATCACGCGGCACGCTACTTTAAGTGCAGAGAGTGCGCATCGAGCTTTCGTGTGCGGTGGTGGAGGGTGCGATGGATCTCACAATAACAACTGTAACCTATCCACACAGCAGCACACAGCGATGTACACATGTGCAACACGCAATGCTATATAGACGCGACACAATCTTGATGTATGGTGGGGCTTTCGAAGATGCCTCATGTTTACTTTCCTGCTATCCTCATGCGCCCTTTCATCGCGATCCGCAATAGAACAGAGTGCTGCTGGGTGCGTTAAATCTCTGGGGACCGTCGTACTTTCGCGGACAACTGCAAAATAATCCACTCTCAACATAGCAGCACAAAGCAACATACGAATATTGGCCGCCGAGTGTATATTTCTTCGTATAGCACCCGACAGAGGCTTTGCGCATGGAGGTGCCGCCTACTGCTGCGTGCGCCTGCTGAGTGAGGTGGATCGATACCCCCACGATGATGTTATCAATCTGAAAGTCGCCCGGGGCTGTCCCTTTTTCCTGAGACGGAACAAAAACCGCCCAGTCACTGCTGTGACGCCGGCGACGCATTTATCCATCAGCACAGGTTATGAAAACTAGGGTACCGATAGCCCCTCCCCCCGCCTTCAACGGGCGGGGGGGGCACAATCGAAAGAAAGTTGGGGGCGCGAGGAGATAACAACCATGGCAACGGGGCAGGAATCAGCTTCCGCCCCTGCGAAACAACACCAACGGTCAACTCTTCCGCTCTAAGCCAAAAATGGCCGGGCAACACGTACCCTAGCACAATTGTTCCGTTTGGAAACATGCCCACGCGCGTACGATACCCTGTGGACGACTGCTTGCTGCAGTCTATGCGAGGCGAACGGGTCACGCTGTGAAAGCGAGACCGATCCAGCATGGTTGACATGAATATGCCTGTGTGCGTGCGTGTGTTGTCTGTTGTGTGTCTCAATTGCGATGTGCCGTGTGTGCGTGCGTGCGTTGTCTGTTGTGTCTCAATCGCGATGTGTTTATTGCCTGACCTACTGCTGTAGCGGCAACGGTCACGCTACCAGCCGACCATGCCGAACATCAAATCAATCAATGTAGGAAAAAAACGTCAGGCTTCAGCGGGATGAGCCGACGAAATGCAACGCGAGCACTTCTTCTACTCTCTACCGACAGGGAGGGTGATCAAGTTGCACGACACAGCAGTGTCATGCTGCTAGAGTAAGGATAAGACTTGTGTGTGCGTAGTTGATGTCAAGGGCAAGTCTGTGTATGATGGTACTGCCTTTCCCCTCCACACTCGTTGCGGGCGCGCGCTCGCCGCCAGCACAGCGCAACACACTGGCACGTGCTATGCATGTCAACCATGCTGGATCGGTCTCGCTTTCACAGCGTGACCCGTGCGTCTCGCATATAGACTGCAGCAAGCAGTCGTCCACGGGGTGTCGTACGCGCGTCGGCATGTTTCCAAACGGAACAATTGTGCTGGGGTACGTGTTTCCCGGCCTTTGTTGACTTAGAGCAGAAGAGTTGACTGTTGGTGTTGTTTTGTAGGGGCGGAAGCTGATTCCTACCCCGTTGCCATGGTTGTTATTGAGCGGGAAGAGTCGCCGTTTGGTATGCCATGGATGGAGGGGAAAAGGAGTTGGGAAGATTCCTGCGGGGAAAATGATTGATGAAAGGGTCTTTCTTTCTGACAGGTCAGGGTACATTTCCGAAAACAGGGTACAGTTGTCAGAGGAGTCACGGCAGCGTATACCCTGCGCCTTTTCGGACGCACCGGGGTGAAATTGGGCGCTAACCAATGATATGAGTGCATTTACCTTTTTCCCTTCTTCCCCTCGCTCCTCGACAAGCTTTTGCTTAGACATGGGTTGTAGTGAAGGGGGGGGGGGGGGGGGGGGGGGGGGGTACGTGCTCGTCGAATCCGGACCACAGTAAAAGCAGGGGGGGACTCCCATCATTCGCGCTTGTGACGTATCATGCACATGTCCTCAAGGAGAGGAGGCAGGAAAAGGTGCGCCACAAAAAAATACAGGCGCAATCGCCTCCATCCCGAGCACGCCGCTTCGAGAAACGGAAACAATCCACCGAAAAACCGCTCATATACCTCCTCTTCCTCGCACAACACCGGAGAGGGACCCTTACCAGGGCGGCCTCAAAAAAATAAATTGTGGGCCTACAGCAGCAGAAAGCACGACGGGATACTGTACCAAGGGCTGCTTCGCTTGAAGGTATCGCTCCTCTGCTCCTTCGACTATTCATTCGTCAAGGAACCAAAAACTACCAACTACCTCCTCCTTCCCTCGCGCACCTACCTACTACTACACCACCAACAACAACTACTCCGTCTCTCGTCGTCGCTCGCGCACCTGTCGACGCTGGGGTGCAGCACCCAGAACGTGATGTCGTTCGTGCTGGTGGCCTGGAACATGGTGCCAATGTGTCCCGGGGAGCACAGCAGGTACATGAGCTGCTGGTAGATCTGGGTGCTCTCCTCCTCGGAGTAGCCCGGTAGGGTGAACAACACGTCGCCCTGTGTGCGCGCGCGGACGTGCCAAAAAAGTAAAAATAAACGCCGTTGCTGCCATCGAACCGCGCTGACGTAACCGGCCTACCATACATACGGGCTCGATGGAGGTTGCGCGGCTTCCTGGGAATCGCGTGTCTACTTTCATGGAAGCGTGTGAAGCTTGTGTGAAATTCACCAATATCGACCTCCATCGAAGCTTTCGATGTAT